GCTCAGGCCATCCGCTCACCTCAGCCTCCCAAAGGTGCCGGATTACAGGCTGAGCCATCGAGCCTGGCTCTCTCTGCTTTCATCACTGGCGAGCTCCCAGGACACTTAATTTTCACGGCCCCAAAAGCCTGCGGTGTGTGGCAAATATAGGTGGGAGGGAAGCTGGGTCCACGGAGATAGAGAGTCTGAAACAGGTTGGGCTTGAGGATTGGGCTGGGAGATGGTCCCTAATGCTTCCAAGAGCAGGCCATGGTCCACCCCAGGACGGCTCTGGCCTTGGCCTCAATCTGAATGGACACTGTCCCAGCCCTGCTTGTTACCGTCCGCCTGTGAGCTTGTCGAGGTGAGGCAGGGAGCGGAGCCTGGTTCCGCTACAGACCCCTTGCCCTCAAGGTCAAAATGGTCCGTTGCCTCCAGATACCAGAACAGTGGCCCTTGGAGCAGTCCAGGCTCTAGCTGGAAACAACTGTCCTGTGATTGACCAAGAGTCTCTTCTGGGTTCAAGCCCTCTTTCTAACACGTCTAGCTTAAGAAATAATTCCTGGCCAGGTGCAGTGGCTCGTGCCTGTAATCCTAGCACTTTGAAAGGCTGAGGCTGGAGGAATGCTTGGACCCAGGAGTTTGAGACCTACCTGGGCAGCATAGCGAGACCTCGATTCTACAGAAATATTCAAAAACTAGCCAGGCATGGTGGTACTCACCGGTAGTCCCAGTTACTTGGGAGGCTGAGGCAGAAGGATCGCCTGAGCCCAGGAGGTCGAGGCTGCAGTAAGCTGTGACTGTGTCACTGTACTCTAGCCTGGGTGACTGAGTGAGACCCTGACTCAAAAAAAAAAAAGAAACTCCAAATCAAGACAAAACTTCACTTGCAAAGAACTCACCGGAGTCCCTTCCAACAGGACAAACAGCTCACGCTGAGCTTGGAGGACTGGGTAAACCCAATGCCACCACTTGGCCCTTCTAAATGCCAGGTGAGGTGACTCATGCCTGTAATCCCAGCACTTTGGGAGACTGAGCGGGGAGGATCGCTTGAGCCCAGGAGTTCAAGACCAGCCTGGGAAACACAGTGAGACTTCGTTTCCACAAAAAATAAAAAAATTAGCTAGGCATGGCGGTGTGCACCTGTAGCCTCAGTTACTTGGGAGGACTGCTTGAGCCCAGGAGTTCAGGACAGTGAACTGTGATCACACTATTGTACTTCAGTCTGGGCGACAGAGCAAGACCCTGGCTCTATATTTATAAAGAAAAGAAAAGAACATGCTACCCATCAATGACACAGTCTGGATACGTGTAGAAACCGGTAAGAATGAGTCTTGGGGAATTACTGTGAATTTTTTGTGAGATCCTGTCCCTGTGGACAGGAGGCAATGCTGCTTCCTGGCACAGAAAAGGTGAGGTGTTTTGGGGCGAAGTGGTGGGAATCTGAGACTTACTGGGGTGCTCGGCAGTTACGTGTAGTTAAGCGACAGAAACACGCGGAAATCGCCAACCGTCACGCCCTTCGTGTAGTGGGACTCGGAGGGACTTTTTTCTCCCTCATTTTTATCACATCCCCAACTTTCTCTCTTTCTTTCTTTTTTTAATTTATCGTAGAGATGAGGTCTCGCCCAGTGGCCCAGGCGGGTCTCGAACCCGCGGGCTCAGGCCATCCACCCGCCTCGGCCTCCCAAAGTGCTGGGATGACAGGCTGGGCCACCAGCCCGGCCCCCAAATTTCTCATCATAAGCAACCTAATCTCGAGGCGGGGGAACGAAAGCCCCCTGACGGAAGCCTGCTCCTCCCGTCCCTGGAGGCCCGCGCATGCCTGCCGCACATCCGTCGGGGGACCTCACGCCACGGGGACCTGGGGCTCCCCCAGCCTCGGTCCCCCCACTACGCCCCCCACCCCCCGAGCAAGGCTGAGTCGCCCGGGACGACGCCTGTGAGCGAGCTTGGCCGTGCCCGCTCCCCCGCGGGGGCTCACCGAATCCCAGGGGCTGTCCTCCGATCCGCACCATCTTCCAGAGCTCTCCAGAGGCGCTTGTGAACAGCAAGTTACTGGGAAACCTTCCGAGGGGGCGAGAGAACCAGAGGCAGGCGTTCGCCACGCTCCCTCCCCGAGAGCTCAGGGACGCCCAGCAGCCCCTGGGCGCTGGGCCCACCGGCCCTGCAGCTTCCTTCTCTGGGGGGAAGGGCCAGGGAGGCGACGCCCGGCTGGGCTTTGGACAAGAGGCCCCCTTGCTGAGGCTGCTCAGGAAGTCCCTCTCCAGCTCCAGACGGGGGGGCTGAGGGACGAAGCCCCGGCCCGGGGTTCAAATCCCGCTCTGCCACCCCCCGAGGTGGGCCTCGGCAACCCCCGCACCTCTTGGAGCTGGGAGGCAGCTCCCCTGTGGCCAAGGGCTGCGGGGAGGACCCACTGGGGACAGCAGGGGGGACGTGCCCATCACGGAGCCCTCCACTCTGGTCCGCCCCGGGGCGCCTGGCTCACCTCTGCTGGGTCTGCACATCCATCACCAGGGAGATGTAGCCCTCGATGAGGGAGAAGGAGAAGAAGCGGATGTGGCCACCGTCGTCTCCAGCAGCCGTGGGGTCCTTCAGCCTGGGGGCCGACGGCAGCGGGTGAGGGGGCGGCTTTCCTGCACCCGCCGTCCCGCCCCTGCACGGCCGCCTGGGGAAGCTGAGCCGTGTCCGGGCTCTGATCTTGCTTGGCTGGGTGACCCCTGTGTCTCCCTCTGTCTGCACAGATACTTATGAGGCCGTTCCACCCCATTCACGGAGGTGCCCACCACCCTCTACAATGCTGGGAGCCCGGCTGGCCTTTCACTGCCAGCTTGCTGGACTCTGTCTCACCCGACGTGGCGACACCCTAGACTTTACAAAATCTGCTGAGGAAGGATGCCAGGTCTGTCATCCACCAAAGGACAAAAACCTTGGTTCTCAGCCCTTCAACAGATGGGGCTGCCTTTGGAGTTCAGGGGCAGCGGAAACGGTTTACATCACGTGCCCCGGGGCTCCACTGCCTATCGGGGCTCCCGGGACAGAATGTCTCCCGCCTCAGACCGGGGCTTCTGAGTGGAGACACATCTTTAGACTAGCTCCAGGGCAGGTCTGTGTCTGCCCCCTCAGAAGAGCTCCCAGGAAATATCTGTGTCTTTCCTGGGCGGGTCTGTGTCTCCCCCCCCAACGGGGGTTCCCACCCACGTCTTCCCCGGCCCACCCGCAGGGGTGGGGAGCTACCTGTTGGAGTAGAACATGACATCCATGAGGAGTGTGGCAACGGCGGGCAGTGTGTCGGGGTCCAGGCTGGTGACACAGAAGCGGTTGCTCGGGCTGGACAGCGGGTGGATGACCGGCCTCTGGACTGTGAGAGCACAAAGACGTCAGGTGCCGAGGCCGGGCCTGGGAAGGGGCTGGGATGGCTGGCAGCTGCTGGGGGACAGGCAGGGCAGGACCTGCGACACTTGGCCCTGCGGCTTCTCCAGCCTCTGCCACCACCAGCTCTCCTGATTCTCCAGCTCCCCTTTCCCTTCGGGCCCCTGGGCCTTTGCACAAGCTGTGCTGGCTGCCTGGAAGGCCTTTTCCAACTGGAACCACCCGGCTTAGCTCCCTTATGCTCCAGGGTCCAGCCCCACAGTCCCTGCCCGGGAAGGACTGCCCGGTCTTCTCTGGCTGCATGCACGCCCAGCACCCTTGCAGCAGGGTCTGCCTCGATTTGTGCTCAGGGGAGAGAAGCCGGACCCTCCGAGGCGGGGGGGCTGGCCTGGGGCTGGACCCGGCACCTTCTTGAGGTCCCCCCGCCCCAGCTCACCCAACTTGGGCTTCACGAAGCCGTTGGTGATGCCGAGGTTCTCGGCTGCCACCGTCTCGCCGTTGACGACCCGCAGGATGGTGAACTCTGACGACAGGGTGTGGGTGACAAGCGGCAGGTCCCGCTCGCGCACCTGGGGACGGGAAGCCCAGGGTGTGGGTGCCCGGTGGCCTCGAGAGTGAGGGGTGGACCTGAGACTCTGCCCCCGGATCCAGCTCTGCTCCCGGGCAGCGCAGGAGGGCGAGGCTGCGAGGGGCCGGGGGTGTGGGGACGCGGGCACGTGTGGGAGGCTTGCGGGGGTGACAGCACAAGTGCGTGGGAGCCAGGGGGCTGCGTGACGCGAGCGGGCGTGCCTGCGGCTCTGGGGTGGGGGCCGTGCTCACCAGGATGAAGTCCGTCTGGTACGTGGACAGCATGAACACCGAGATGTTCTGGTCGGCCAGCGGGGCAATGACCGACTTGGCGATCTTGGTCACCCCGATGGGCTGGGAGCTGGAGAAGCTGCCGCCGCCGGATACCACATTCAGGGCCAGCCAGGTGGCGTCCGCCACGCTCAGGTGCTCCGAGGAGGGCAGCTCTGGAGGGAGACACAGGAGGAGCTCTGTGACCCCTGGGCCCCGGGTGTCCCAGAGAGGTGGCATTGAGGCTCTGAGGCCAGCTCCACCCCTGCAGACATGCCGCGTGACCGTGACCTCATTTGCCAACAGGACGGGATTTGCCTCGAAGATCCCTTCCCGGGAGGACCAAGTTGGAAAGTCCTCAGATGACTCGGCATGCCAGGAAGCTCCACAGGGCGGAAGCCATGTGGCAGGCGGTTTAACTATGTTACGCCTCAACTTCCCCAGTCGTAAAATGACGGTGTCGGTAGTCAGCAATGCCTGTTATTTCTAGTTCTCACAACCCCTCTGCGTGCCAGGCGCTGCTGTCACCCCCATTGGTCCATGTGCAACTGGCCTGCGGTATTCAGACTGGGTTCCCCGGGACCTCTGGGAGGGGGTCTGGGTGGAGGGGAGGGGAGACCAGCAGAGGCCTGGGTGCAGGCCCTGGGGTTTCTCTCCCTGCTTCAGGCAGACTTGCTCCCTGGGTTTCCCTGGAAGAACCTGGACGCACATGAGTGTCAGTGACTCCTGAGAGCCCGGGGGTCCTGGGGGTCGGCACAGGGAGGTCTCAGAGCAGCAACTGCCGAGGCTCCTCGACTGGATCCTGGAGACGTCTGGGCACAGAGAGGGTACCCGAGGAGCCCGCACATGGGGTGTAGGTACACGCGTGTGCATGTGTCCAGGCACACGCAGCACAGGCCTGATCACAGACTGCACGGGGACCCCCCCATGAGCCCCTGGGCACCTGCTCAAACCCACCCCTTCCAGGCCCAGAATGGGGAGGGGCGAGGCGCAGGGAGGTGGACTCTGACACATGAACACCATGAGGGAGGTGGCACTTTTATCCCCACTGTACCCTCGACAGTCCAGAACCCCGGAAGGGACCAATCTACCCGAGATCCCTCAGGGAGGCACAGAGCCAGGATTCAAATGCAGGTCTGGCTCAACCCAGGCTCCATCTTGGGCACCAAATGGGCAGAAGCACCAAGCTCCTGGGAAAGCAGGGGGCTAGGGAGAAAGACCCAGAGACAAGTCAAGGGCACCAAGGGGAGACCGGCTGGGCTGTGCGGACCTCAGGCACGATGGCTTGGAGGAGGGGAAATTACCTGCTGGGCTCTGGTCGCCATGGTGACCGCAGCCCAGCGAGCCCATTGGTCTGCCTGTGGTCAGCCCGTGGGTGGCGGGAGAGGCAGGGGGCTTCACAGAAAAGGGACCAGGCTGGGGAGGGGGTTGGGAGGACGGCTCTCTCAGGTCCAGGGTATCGGAGAGAGATTTCCCAGGCCTCGCTGAGGAAACGCACGCCCCAGAGTCCCATCTCGATCCTCAAATTCCAAGGGGCCTACTCCTGGCAGAGGAGGGCATGGCGGGGAGGCTGGGAACCCCCCCACTCACTGGCTGCCTCTCGGTGGTACAAGCAGAGACAGGCCAGGTGCCCCCGAAAGCCGGGGCCCAATGTTCAGCCTCCCCTCCGGGCAGTGTCTCCAACGCTTCTGTGATCCTGCAGGCTGGGTGGGAGCGTGCAGCCCAGACAGCAGCCAGTTGCTCGAAAGCAGCCATTTAAGTGTGTTTTTATTTTATTTTTGATACGGGGTCTCACTCTGTTGTTCAGGCTGGAGTGCAGTGGCCTGATCATGGCTTGCTGCAGTCCTGACCTCCTGGGCTCAGGCGATTCTCCCTCCTCAGCCTCCTGAGTAGCTGGCACTACAGATGCACACCATCGCACCTGGCTTACTTTTTTTTTTTTTTGAGTTGGAGTCTCACTCTGTCTCCCAGACTGGAGTGCAGTGGCCGCTCCCGGCCACCGCAGCCTCGACCTGCTGGGCTCCGGCGATCCTTCCGCCTCAGCCTTCCGAGTAGCCGGAATTATAGGCGCGCGCTACCACGCCCGGCTGATTTTTTGATTTATTGTAGAGATGAGGTCTCGCTGCCCAGGCGGGTCTCGCACCCGCGGGCTCAGGCAATCCACTCAGCTCAGCCTCCCAAAGGCGCGGGATGACAGGCTGAGCCACCGAGCCCGGCTACTTTTTTATTTTCTGTAGAGACAAGGCCTCACTACCTTGCCCAGGCTGGTCTCGAAATCCTGGGCTCAAGCAACCCTCCCGCCTTAGCTTCCCAAAGTGCTGGGATTGCAGGCGTGAGCCACCATGCCTAGTCTAAACACGCTTAATGAGGAGATAAAATAAGAAATGCTCCTTTTCACTGGGGCAGGACCGATAAAGCCTTAAGAAAATGCAGGTAGGGTCACTTGCGCCATTGCATGTTAACACAACAGGACCGCGTTAGCTGTGAACTCAACCTTTATCTGCCCTGCCGAGCTCCTTGTGACTCAACACTGCCCAGTGGTGAGCCACCTCCGTGGAGTTAAAACAGCCCAGGTCCTTGCCCCACGCCGCCCACAAGAGCCACCTGCAGGTGGACTGTATCTGCGCCGCCTGACACGGCAGCCAGTCGCCACCTGGGGCTGTGAGCCCTAGAAACGTGTCTGTGCCACAGAAGTGCTGAAATTTCAGGTCTCATTTTCTTTAAATCCCAGTAGCCACATGCAGTGAGTGGCTCCCGTCCTGGGCAGCGGAGCTCTGCGTCAGCTCCATTGGGTGGTGACCTCTTCGCTGAGCCCGCCCCAGTGCCAGCTGAGTGACAGCGAGGACTGCGGCAGCCGGCCCAGGCTCCACTCTGCCCAGGCCCCAATGCTCCCACCCTCACCAGCTGCACCCGGAGACTTTCTCTTCCCCCCCCATCCCCTGGCTTTGTCTCTACGGCCAGGGTGTGGTCACGCGGCCAGACCTGGGGTGGCCAGGTGGCCGTTGACATCACCCCATGGCCCCAAACCCAACTTGCCAGGTTGGGACAAGGGGCTGCGGGCACCGATGCCAGTCCCACAGGCTGGCCCCAAACCCAGCTGACATCTGCAGAATCTCGAGTCATCAGTTGAGGACAGGGCGGACGCCGCCCACCTGCTTGCAAATGTCCCAGTGGCTCCGAGAAGGCAGATCGTTCCCCCACATCACAGAGTGGAATCTCAGGCCGAGAGGGCAGCTGACCGGACCAAGGTCACACTCTGGCACTGCGGAGTGCCTTCCAGACCCACATGGCCCCCAGCCCGCGGAGGGGTGCCGTGGAGACCGCAGGGCTTAGCTTCAGAACCGTGCGGAGAGGTGTCTGGGCAGCTGCTGTCCTGACTCTGATGCCCAGTGGGTGGGCCCTTGGGTGGGCGCTTGGCTGGCCCAGGCCCGCCCCTTCTTGAGCACATTCCGGAGTTTAGCAAGGAGACAGGCTTCGGGCCGCTATGGCAGGGAGGCCACGTTCCCTCGGAGGTGGTGAGGCACCAGGTGTGTGTGCATCTCAAGAGCGTTCAGGGGTCACCGAAGCTCTGTCACTAGGAGTCTCTCGGCAGGGATGGATGATTCCAGAATGATTTCAGGGAGAAGCCCAAGCCTGAGATTGGCTGGAAATGGGGGCACATGGAAGGGGAGGCTATTGCCTCCCAGAGGATTTCAGGTCGATCCAGCAGCTGGCCAGAGGCAGGCGGCCACTCTGATGGCTTGGTCCCTCTGCCCTGCTAGTGGCCTCAGCCCTGGGTTGCGAGGGCGGTCAATGCAGGAGCAGACGGGATGCCCCCGAGGTTTTCTGAAGCGCGAGCTTGGTGAGGGAAGCCAAGCTGGAGACCACGGAGTCGGCCACTTCTCACCCAGGACCCCAAATGTTGCCTGACATGCTGGGGGAAAGGACGGCCTGTCTGGGCCCTGTCCCCACCCCAGCCTATAGGGGTCCAGGGGACTGTCTTAGGGCTGTGAGGATGAGCCCCCGGGATGGTAGCCAGAGGTGGCAAGCCTGTCCTTCCCTGCAGGAAGAGCAGACCATCCCAAGACAGAAACGGACTATTCCTGTCACTGCTGGTTACCCAAGACCCTACAAATAACCTCTCTTGGTGGTGAACTCTCCTTGGTGGAGGAGGTAATGGTGTCTCGCCACCCTGCAGGGGGACCTGCGGTGCCCTGGCCGTGTCCTCTGCAGACCTTATGCAGATGTCCCAGGGTCAGGTGGGTGGGGTTAAACCCCAGCTGTGTCACCTCAGGCAAAGTCACTGTCCCACAGTCTTGTAGTTTTCAAACACTGGCTGATAAAATCAGGACAGATCCCAGAACACATTGGAGGATTCAAGGAGGTGATCCCACCTGGTGCTATGCTAAGGGTCTGGCGTCCAGACTGTCCACCATGACGTGGCTGGTGCTCATTCTGCTTGTTTCTGGATGGATGCTGGGTGAAATGTACCAAGGGCTTTAGGAACGTGCAACTTTGCTCCAAAGGAGTTACACTTGGAACAAAGATTTGTGGGCAAGAACGTCCAACCCGAGGGATTTAAAGTGAAGACCCAAGAACCGGGCACAGCGGCTCATGCCTGGAATCCCAGCGCTTTGGGAGGCTGAGGTGGGAGGATCGTTTGAGTTCAGGAGTTCAAGATCAGACTGGGCCACACAGCAAGACCTTCTTTCCCTAGGAAAAAAAAAAACTAGCCAGGCATTGTGGTGTACGCCTGTACTTCCAGCTACTTGGGAGGCTGAGGCAGGAGGATGCCTGAGCACAGGAGGTCAAGGCCGTGATGAGCCATGAGCATGCTACTGCACTCCAGCCTGGGTGACAGAGTGAGATTCTGACTCAACATAAAAAATAAAAAAACAGGGCTGGGCGTGGTGGCTCATGTCTGTAATTGTCGCGCTTTGGAGGGCAGAGGCGAGAGGATTGCCTGAGTCCAGAGGTTTGCGACCAGCCTGGGCAACTTAGCGAGACCTCGTCTCTACAATAAACAAGAAAATTAGCCAGGTGTGGTGACACATGCCTGTGGTTCCAGCTACTTGGAACACTGAGGTGGAAGGATCGCCTGAGCCCTGCAGGTCGACGCTGGGGTGGCCGTGAGCGTGCCATTGCACTCCAGCGTGGGTGACAGAGTGAGACTCCAACTCAAAATTAAAGACAAACA